GCATTTCTGTCTACATTAATAGCTACTATGTTTTATCTCTTTGCTCTATTAAGAAACTCCAACAGAAAGGAATATCTTTCAGGCCTGTGAATTTGTGCTTATTTTTTACTGCCTGATTTTGACATTGCAGTTCAGTTGGATGACCAAGTATTTAGTAGAGGGCACAACGGCAATGTATAACATATCAGCAAGTATTCAGACAGATCTGCATTCGGAGCAAGGAAGATCAGCAAGGGAGACAAACCTACTTCTCCACTAAGGTAGGATAGTTTCACCTATTTCACTGAAACTTGTATAGGTAGAAGCTGTACTAAAGCATTGCTCAAGTCAGTATTTTGTTTAAATCCTCAGAAAACTTCAAAAGTTGTTTAGTACTACCTATCCTTGAGTCTTATGAGATGGTGTGGCTACGTGTTTTCAAACATATGAGAGCTTAAAGAAAGACATGGGGGTGTTGGTTGGTTGTGGTGGAACAAGAGGATGCCTTCACTTTATGCACTCTCTCAACAGAAGTGTGTTTCATTAGATTCACCTATACAAAAAACTAAATATCAAGTGCCATTGGTGATCTATTTCATTTGAACATAAGCATTCCCCTAGAAAAATGTTAAGGAAATTGACATCATTTATTTTTCCAGTGTTCTGATTTAGAAGGTGAACAGTGAGGTGTCTTGTAACAAGATTAGAATTCTGCGACAATTTAGAGGCTAAGCTCTTATACTAGATTCACCTTGGCCTTTTGCATCTTTGTAGGCTTTGTATTAGTAAAGCACCATGATATTATTGACAATTCATTCCGGTGATGATAAAAGTTCACTTAAGAGTTATATTCTTGATGATAAGGGATCCACCTACTTTTATCTTTCTCAATAATAGAAGCATAATAGATTCGTGTCCTTACGAAATCCTGTAACATATTCTGCTGATGTATTAGTTTCTCATAGTAGTGAAATACATTTTGGCAGAATGTCTCTATTTTGTCAGAAAATTTGCTTTCTGAAGTTGATACTGCTCCATTTGCCAAAGGACACTATCAAAACAGAACTTGAACTAGCACATCCTTCCATTGCTCAAATGCACCATGGAAAGCGCTGCTTTCCTCCTCTTGTCAAAATTGAAAGGAGATTCCTCTTGAATAATGTTTTATGTTTTCAGCATCGCAATGTCTGGCTTGGTCATCTACATGCAAATATATAAGCATAAGACTCGTACAAACGGCTTTTAGTAGATAATCTTCTACTACTCTTTATTGGCTTCAGAAGCTTCAGATATGAATAGAGAGTTCAGGTACTCAAGGGAATTATTAAATACACATCTGATAGTCAATCATAGGCACATTTTAACAGCAGATTGTTTATCTATTTTCCAATTCTATTAATGTCTTGGACAATCTGCTTGTGGCTTAATATGCTCATGAAATTGGTTTGTTTTTCTTAAACCAAAGATTGAATTCAAATGGGGCTATATCTCTCCAAGTGCACCACATAACTTACCAAGTAAAGTGATTTAAGCCAAGTGTAATGGTGTTTTAGCATAAATGCAAAATCTTCAGTTATTCTATCCAAGTAGAATACATAAGGATGATCAATTGTTCACAGAAAAATATGTAACTTTACCACTAAATGATCATTCAAAGTACCAAATAATTAACACCACGTCAAAATTATAAGTTGACACTTTCCTTATAACTTGTAGAAAGACACAACTAATCTCATTTACAATCTTGAAGAACCTTTGAAAGATCTTTGAAAAAACACAAACAACGATAGCGTGCATAGTATGGGCACTCCCATCTAGTTACTAAAGAAACCTGATGCAGCACTTCAATGTTTCCTACAAGAAATGGCATAGATATACACACCAAGAACACATGCAAACATTAACAACTATTTGTTGCTTATTTCTTTGGAATGTGGAAAGAATGACAGAAAAATGATTTACTGCATGATAAACTTGATATCTGGATTTCTTATTGACTTGAGCCACATATCCGCCATTACACGTGATGATATGGTCCATAGCAAATCTTGGCCTTTTACTGCTGAAGCTTTCTTTACTTTCTTCCCCATTTTACCAAGTCCATAAGCCACCAGCCACTGCATTGCAGTCAATCTCTGCTTTTCTGTGTCCCATGCATTCTTCTTTTCTCCACTCCCAACTCTCAATCCGCCAATCGCCAAACATGCTATTTTAAACTTCTTGTCCTCATCGATATCATTAGTTTTCTCATCAATATGAACTGCTTGAATCAGTGCTATCATAGGTCCTCCGACTGGCTCGAACTGCCTCAATGGATCCCTCAGTTGAACCACAACAGATATCATTACATTATTGCTTTTGTCATCTTTTTCCCAATCTTCAAGTGGAACTGCGGACTCCAGCGGATGACCATGGTCATCTTTCTTGTTTGCTGAATGTGGGGAAACATCAAAAGGCGCCTCTTCTTCCGCGATATCTGCCTGAATTTTCAGGGCTTCGATGGTCATTGCCTCCATTTTCTGCAGTGTGAACGCTAGAATTTCGTCCACTGTCAATGGTTCGTCACTGATATTCCAAATCCCTGTAGAAATCCTCTCATTTCGGCTTGTGTTCATCGCTGTTGCCATTGATTTCACTGCTGCAACTGTACGAGCAGCAGTTGAGCTGGCACCTACTTCTTTATTCCTTCCTTGAATAATTGCTGAAGCAATGCCTTCAAAAGCTATCTGCTCTGCTGTTTTCCCCACGAGTTCTTCCATTGGCATCATTGATAAGATCTTGGAGGTAAATTCTTCCATCCCAATAGCTGCCATCCTCTGGAATATTTCAAATCCATTCATAGACGACAAAATTGATGGAAAAACAAATGGTTTTGATATCTGCATTGCAAGTTTTGGGGTGTCTTTTCTAGAAACAACAGTATTAAGAGGATTCATGGCCGCCAAGAAACCTCCGTTCCTTGTTTGAACCACACAACCCAACCCCTTACCAAGATCTGGTATAAATATGACCGATTCTCTCTTTTCGCTATTTTCATCTCCTTGCAGCTTTGATGTTGGGATTTCTTGAAGATCCGTCTTAAACTGATTAGTGCCACCTGAATCTTCGAGCATTTGAAGAAATTCCCTTGTCACATTTTCCTCATCCGCATCCAACCTTTGTGATTCAGAGTCGTCATCCTCTGTCTTGACTTGATTTTCATCTTTAAACATGGATTCAAGAGCTTTGATTTGCTGAGCAATGGAATCAAGTGCTGACAATCTAGTCAAATGATGCTGATCATGCACAATCTCCTTAACTACCTCATGACTTGATACTGATCTTTTGTCAGAATTTCCTTCAGATTGTTCTTCTTCTTCTGCGTCTTCCTCTTCTTCTTTTACTTCTACTTCTTTTTTTGCTTCATCTTTATCTTGAATTTCAACTCCTTTGTCCACAACATCAAACTCCGGGAGATCAAGATCCTCTGCTTTTGACTCTGGTTCCTTTTCAGGCTCAGCATCTAGATTCAGCTCATCAATTCCTTGAAGATTTGGTGTTGTTCCTGTTTGTGAAGGAGTCCAATTAGATGAACTTAGGCTAGTCATTCTTGGACTTGGGACACTAAAAGATGTTTTGGATTGCTTTCGAGCAAATGATGACGATGAATAGTTCACATTTTTTCCCGTCTTTTGCCCCTCAACCTGGCTGTAAATTCCAATTCCACCATCTTTCTCCATTATCTGAAATCCCAATTTCAGAACTAGCTCCCCCCCTTTGGCCTTCCCTGAAAGAGTATAGCTCGTGTCCCATTGGCGAATTCGGTTGCCTTCAAAGCTCTTTTCTATGGACTCCTGAATCATTTCACTCAAATCTACTAAGTTCTTTCCAAAATCAAGCTCCTCTGCATCCACAGCAAACACATATATCGAAAATGGACGTGGCTCGAATTTAAAGCGAGTTCCACTACTACCAATAGTAGTAGCAGGGGTATAATAAACATGGCACCTAATGAAAAGGGTCTCTTCAAAATCAGCAGCTCCCTGAGTAACTCTAGATGGCATGGTTTGTACTGCTCCTTCTTTAGTTTCCTTTTTTCTAACACAAACTGATAGCCGTAGCCCGTTCATGGATGTAGGTAGTCCCTGAACTGTGACGACTTCAACTGAGAACAAACAGCTTAGCTTTTGCTTACCAATGTGAGCGAGAGCCCGAATTGGTTTCCAGCTCCATAGGCCTTTTTTCTCGGAGTTGGACTCGGCTTTGCTATCCAACTTCTTCAGTGACTTGGTGCTGCTGCTCTGTTGTTGTATGATATTGTCCTCGCTCTCGATATCCATCTTTGGACGAGAACGCCATGGCGACAATGACATGCGCCTCGACCTCTGCTTAGGATTGATGGCACTGTCATCATTTTTAACACTGGTTATTGGATCATCAGCGATAGCGATTGGAGGGACAGACGTTCGAGGAAGGACAAGGGAGGCAGTTCTTCGGGTTGTGCTAGTTGAAGAAGTGTTTGGCTGATAGAGTGTTTCACTAAGTGCTTCGAGTTCTTGTAATAACTGTGTATTGGAATTCCTTCTAGTATTTGTGATGTAATCAGCCATTGTAATGAAACTCTGAGAAAACAGAAGAAAGAAAATGTTGGTAAAAGGCTTGCCAAAGTAAAGATGATTATTGGCAAGTAGTGGAAGAGATATGAGGGCAGTTTGATCAGAGAGGTGTTTGGATGGAGATGAGAAGATTGATGTGGGCATTTGAGGACTGGAAACTTCCTTGTATAAATGGTGAGTAGGATGTATTGCTTGGTGCTTTTTGAACCAGGTATTTGCATTAGTTTTGTATGTGAAGGATAAGGCAAGAACGTTTGTCTCTCTCTCTCTCTGGCAATTCCCCTGCCCCACTGACAGTTGTCCATTTTTGGCAAACAGTACTACGGACTCCGTTCACTTTTACTTGTCCAAAGTGGACTTAGCACGCCCCTTAAGAAATAATAGGTGAAATATATATTTTACTATAAAACCCATAATAATGATTTTATTTTGAGAAGTCTTGGAATATGATTTGTGAAATGAGTAATTATGATAAGGGTAAAATAGGAAAAAATATATGGTCTTCTTTTGATTTACTAAAATTGATAAGTAAAAATAAAAATATATTTTTAGTATAGTGGACAAGTTCTAATACCATCTCTACTTCCAATAATTAACTAGCGTCAAAAATATATCATCTGCACAAAGGTTCAATTTCCGGAACTCAGTTGGCATTAGGCCAAAGAGTTTTACTACAATTCCAACTCAAAATATTTATTAAAAAAAGTTTTCGAGAAAATAGTTTATTCAAAATCACTATAAAATTTGTAGAACTTATCTTTGAGAGAAACAAAATTATAATGCAGTTGCCTGGATGATAATGCAATAGGAGATCAAACAGTTCCAAGCCGCTAGCAAAATTAGTTTAGATATCTTTGACAATGTTCATTGTTTTAAAATGAAGTCAAGGAAATCAAGGTCTATTTTCTATTCAGTTTGAAAACTAAGGTAGCTAAATATCTTCTAGAGTATTCTTGTAAAGGTTTTGTCAACCAATTACTTAAGTTATCAACAACGCGATCAGCACACATTACTCTTGAAAAGGCCGTAACTATAACACCTTTTCCTTGAACTGAATGATCCCTTAAGCAATATAGGCCATTCATAGCTTTTATTTTTTATTTTTTTATTTTTATTTTTTTATTTTTTATCCCTCCCAAATAAGGAGGATCTATAGTGTTTCCACACTTCCCCTCCAGCATGACTCGAACCCAGGACCTAACGGTCGTGGGTGGAGGTGACGGAACTGTTTTTCTAAGGGTTCAGTGAGGGCAGCGAAGTTAGCTTGACTGCTACTTAGCTTCAGCCCTTAAACAATAAACAACACATTGTGCTGAAGCGATGGCAATCACACGAAACAAGCAAGAAAGCTATGAAAGAAAGAGACCAAGATTTGGGAGGCAAGTGCCCTTTTCTGTTGTATTATCAAATATTGCTGATTACAAAGAATGAGTCTAAAGCCTATTTATAGAAATTAAAATTGCTATACAAAAGGGGTGGTTGGCAGGGCTGGAAAGGCTGTCCACCAGCCTGGTGCACTCCAGCATGGCAAAGCTGGAAAGGCATCCTAGAGAGATCCTGCTATCAACCATGGCCCAGAATGTCAAAGATGCTCTCCCACTTTCGGCTACTTGTCCCTTGGTATGCTGACTTTCTGTCAAAGGTGTCTTTTGATGGCATTTCATGATTTCTGTGAGGCCCAAGTGTTTTCCCACTGATGGCTGTCCGAGATTTGGGCTCAGGCAAGTCACGTCGTCGCTGGAATTGCGGAAAATTAAGCCTCACTTGTCACCATTCTTGAGAAGCTCAAATAAGTGAAATTGAAATACTTTTAAGTTGTTCAATATGAAAATTCAGCAGAAGTGGAGAAAAAAGGGTAAAGGATAAAAATGCCCCTAAAGTATTTGATATTTACAACATTTGCCCAATCATGCCCCTATCCGTTAATAGTTTGGCCCAATCATGCCCCTACCGGCTACCATTACTTTCTTGGGCCAAATATGCCCTTATATTTCACATGGAACCAAACCGAGCATAATTAGGGCATATTTAAACCTACACATACATTAAGGGCATATTTGGTCCAATTTGGTTCCAAACTGCAATTATGCAGCAACTTTTGAAGCTCACTTATGAAGCAACTTGGTTAAATTATATAGTGAATTTTTTCACCAATTTAAGGCATCACATAGAGCATATTGTTTTTCATTTTTAAGCACCTTAAAGTACCATTTTGTGCGACTTAAATTAGAAGCTCTAGGTATAGATACAACCACCATAATGTCATAAAACAAGAAAATTCATTACATTGCTTCAAACCACAAAATGTATTTACATTGCATCAAAATAACATACCTTAACCCATTGATTGTTTCAAAATTTACATAACTAAACTATATGCTATGGTACTCTAAATTGTCCAAACTACAAGACCCATATATAATCACAAATTGATACTCCTTACCATATACTCCATTCATATGATTTGGCCGAGCGCTTGGCTATACAGCCAGCACCCCAGTAAAACGCAGCAACTGGAATGAAGATGACAGCAAATATAAAAGGCACTCGTTGTCCTTGGAGAAGAAATTTTGGGTGGAGGATAGCCATTTTGTTTTTCAAAAGGAGCAAAGATATAGCCAAAGGTGACTCAAGAATTATGTGTTGGACATTACAAGCAGTCAGGGGCGGATCTAGTTATAAGGTCCGAGGGGTGGTACGTTACCCGCAAGCTACAGTCGAGACTGTGTATATTTGTATATATATGTAAGAAATCATATATGTATATTTAAAGTGCCACCCATAGTAACAAATGATATAAAGGTGCCAGTGGCAAAGAATAGGAGATTTCACCTTGGTGGCAAAGGATTGAACCCCACCGGTAACATTTTTTGAACCTTTTTACTTGCTACATTAAGCTTTCTATATATTCAGTTCTCTTTTTCTTCTTCATAATTATTATTAAACATCTTATTTTATTTGTTAACTTTTGACTTTCTTTCTGTCTCTTATTAGTTAAGTATTTATTTTTTTCACACAAAGTTAAAATAGCATTTTGTTTTGCAAATCTTTGCTCTATCATAACTATAGCACTATATTTTTTTGTTCCATCGATTTATATTATATACCAAAAAAATAATAATCCGAACCGAAATTCAAAGTTGTTCAAACCAACAAAATATTTACTCTATCTCAATGTATAAATACATGGACGCTCAAAGCTATGTGGCACCTAAAAGCTCCAAATACTAGATCCACCTCAGCAAGCAGTTGCATAATATTTGGGATAACTAAACAGAACATACTCTAAATAAGCCTGGAAACCATACAACATATTTGCTTAACACCCAATTTACAAATGAAAGAAAAAAACAACATACCCATGAAGGAGTTGGGTTGTTAAGGTGTTTTTGAATATTATGGGGTAAAATGTTTTAATTTAACAGTCACACACTATTGATCACATTATTACCGTCAATAGTCAACAGTTGATAAATGTTTCTGCAACGGGAAGCGTGTCGTTCTACCATAAGCTACTTATAGCTTATATTATATGATAAGTATATCACAAGATACTTAAAAAAGGGAGCCTCGGAGCAATGTTAAAATTGTATTCGTATGACCTATAGGTCACGGGTTCGAGTTGTGGAAGTAGTCACTAATGCTTGCATTAGGGTAGACTGTTTATATCATACTTCATGGGTGTAGTCCTTCCCCGAACTCTGTACGTAGAGGCGGAACCAGGATTTGTAACTTATAGGTTCGGTTGAACCCATACTCGATGGGCTAGCTCCGCCCCTGTCTGCAATGCTTTGTGCATCGGAATATCCGTATATCACAAGCTACTTATAGTTTATGCGATGTCATGACATTATATTCACAAAGGTAAACTAAAAAATTTCTATATATAGTTTTGTCGAAAACTTAAAAATAAAAAAGGGAAGCACTTCATTGGTAATTGTATGAGAAGGATTTCCCTAACATACATCAAAAGGCATTCTTTACCTAATGCGGGAATTGAAATTATTGGGATAAAAGGTAGCGGTTGATTATACGGGCAAGACAGCCAAAAAACGCAAAAATCAGAATAGCGATGACAACAAATATAAAAGCCACTTCTGATCCACTTATATGCTTTGAAGTTGTGTCCTCGGATGTTGGACGAGGATCCCTGCCATGTTCATTACAATTAGGAATATCCTGTTGAAGATTATTGGAACTGGAATTAGGAGACGTCAATGTTGTGTGAATAATGGTAATAGTAATATTTATATTTATAGTCATATTATTATTTGTGGATATTGTTTATGATAGGAGTTCTTTTCTGGTGGAGAGGGCGGTGGAAGTTGAAGTGAGTAGAATGAACATAACTAGTATTGTTATTTTGAGAAGAAGAGGGAAATGTAGCCATTGTTTATTGCACAAACAGACAGAAAGAAAAACTGTTGTACTTTTACTACTAGAATCGTATTATATGTTTGTATACGGTTAAAATCAGGCTCGATGTTCGATCGAGCTTCCAACCTCCCTAATTAAGGCCAAAGTCGAAATATTCGTAATCGGGTAAAAGTCGAGCTCGAAGTTCGATCTTACATCCGACACAATCAGCCAAGATCGAAATATGGTAATTAAGATCGGACCCAAAGCATTGCTAAAATTAGTCATCGACACCACCATATTTGCTCTCGAGTTTACCGAAGTCATAACCGGTCCCGGTCATGACGGTCTCAAGGAATATATTGCCAGCTTATCCAAAATTCCCGCAATTAACCGGACATTATAGCGGAAATCACGGAATATATCAAAAAAGGAACCAGTGGTCAACAAATCAAGGACCTTTTTTACCTTTTATGGTATAATAGAATAATACCTAAAAAGTAGGCTCCTCTAATATATGAAGGGGGCCTCACAATTCATGAAAGAAGGGCAACATACACTGATAAGTAATACATTCTCTGAGTTCTTACTCTTTGGTATTTTGTGTCAATAAAAGTGCATTCAACTCAAGTATAACTTGGTTTCCTAAGCTGAAATCATCCAATTCATGTGGTTTGCAGTTAATTTATCGTTATTTATTTCAATTGCAATCTAATTTATCATTTTGTATCAAGTTAATTAGCATATCTTTTAAACCACTAACAAATTCAATTGTTATCCGATTACGAGGGTAAACAGTTTGGCGCCCACCGTGGGCTAAGGATAATAGTGGTTATTTGATACAAATCTCCATAACACACACTACTTTACACTTGCTCTTTAAAGCGTCTTTGATTTCAGGCTAAAAATGCCAAACTCTCAATCAGCACCCCTACATATCGACAACGAGTCCGGTCATCAAGGTGAAAATAACAATATGGCACCCGGTAACAAAGTGCCGCTGCTGATCCCGTTGGAATTTCGATCGTAGATCCGATTGATGTTAATTCACATATAGCTATCAACGCGAACTTGCCTACCGACCCCAAAAATAGGGTCTGTGGTGGAGCCCGATCAGCAACTCGAAACACGCAAAACATTGAAGAAGATGGGATCAGCCTACGGATGATCTTCGAAATGCTGCAGGCACAACAGGCGGCTATAGCTCAGTTACAGAACCAAAGCCGGGTACCGAGCAGGGCTGAGCCCGATCCACCCCGTAAAGTCACCCGCAGAAATGAACCGGTCATAGAAAGGTCAAATGAACAAGAATCGGGTGCTAACCCCGAGATTATAAAGATGCTAGAGGAGCTGACAAAGCGGATAAAATCAGGGGAAAAGAAAATCAAAGCAAACAACAAAAAGGTGGAAACCTACAATCCCAGGGTAGATCAAATCATAGGACCACCTCTGTTATTGAAAGGACTGGATTCGAGGAAGTTCGTGCAAAAGCCTTTTCCTCCGAGCGCAGCTCCGAAGCCGATCCCCAAGAAATTCCGCATGCCCGAAATACCTAAGTATAACGGAACGACCGACCCAAATGAGCACGTAACCTCTTATACATGTGCCATTAAAGGAAACGACTTGGAAGACGACGAGATCGAGTCTGTTCTACTGAAAATATTTGGGGAAACCCTGTCAAAGGGAGCTATGATATCGTATCACAACTTACCTCCTAATTCTATTGACTCATTTGCTATGCTTGCAGACTCTTTCGTAAAAGCACATGCTGGTGCATTCAAGCTCGAAGCCACGAAATCGGATCTTTTCCAAGTCAAACAGAAGGACACCGAGATGCTCAGGGAATTCGTGTCCCGTTTTCAAATGGAACAAATGGATCTGCCACCGGTCGCTGATGATTGGGCTATTCAATCAAGCTTTCACTCAGGGACTCAATATTCGAAGTTCGGTGGCTTCACAATAGGTGAAGCAGAACCTGATAGAATACCCGGCCGTTACCTGGGCCGACATGCATAACCAGTATCAATCGAAAATCAGAGTCGAAGATGATCAACTCGGGGCCCCTTCGGAGTTTGTTTGCCCCGTCAGAACCCTCGACAGAGTCAAGAGAGACATCGATCGTGAACCAAAACCAAACAGAGATCGGTATCAGCCATATAATGGAGATCGGAGAAGCAGTAGGTGCGGGCGGAACCCCATGAGAAATGAAGGGAGAAATGACCGAGGTCGAAAAAATCGGGGGCTCATGACCAAAAACGGCTTCGACAGGTCCATCGGGCCTAAAGAAGCGCCGAGGCTATCGGAATACAACTTTAATATCGATGTTGCCGCTATTGTATCGGCTATTGGGCGCATCAAAGATACCAAATAGCCTCGACCTCTACAATCCGATCCAACTCAAAGGGATCCTAATCAGATGTGCAAATATCATGAAACTCACGGTCATAAAACGAAAGATTGTCGATAGCTGAGAGAAGGAGTTGCCCGACTATTCAACAATGGGCACCTTCGAGAATTCTTGAGCGACCGGGCCAAGAATCATATTAGGAACAAGACGAACCTCAACACGTCATTAATATGATCATAAGTGGAGTTGATATCCCATAGGGGCCGATGTTGAAACGCTCCAAAGTATCCATCACTAGGGAGAAACGAACTCGAGACTACATACCAGAAGGAACTTTATCTTTCAATGACGAGAATGCGGAAGGGATCGTACAGCCTCACAGTAATGCACTGGTAATATCTGTACTCGTAAATAAAATTCGAGTTAAACTTGTATTAATTGATCCAGGTAGCTAGGCCAACATCATTCGGTCAAGGGCCGTGGAGCAACTCGGTCTACAGGACAAAATCGTGCCTGCAGTCCGAGTCCTAAACGGATTCAACATGGCATGTAAAACCACCAAGGGGGAGATAACGTTACCAGTCAATACCACTGGGACCATACAGAAGGCCAAGTTTTATGTGATCGAAGGAGACATGAGGTACAACGGCCTACTCGGGAGGCTATGGATCCACAACATGAGGGCAGTGCCCTCAACTCTTCACCAATTATTAAAATTCCCAACTTCGGGAGGGATTAAGACAATTTACGGGGAACAACCGACCGCAAAAGAGATGTTTGCAGTCGAAGAAGTGATTCCAATATCGACACTCACAACATCGAAGGAACCAAGTTCGAGTACAAACCAAGAGGCCAAATAGCAGTCACCGATACTTGCCACAACCCAACTAGATAAGCAGGGGACTGATGAAGACGATGATTACGGGGTTCGCCGATCTTTTATAATCCCCGATGAC